TGCAGCTGGCCACGGCCACGTGGCGCCGGTGGCCACGAGCTCCCTTCAGAGCCCGTGACGTGGTCTCTCCAGCCCCACGAGCACTTGGCCGCCGTGGTTCCTCGCCTGTGGGAAACACAGGCCTTCGTTCCCAAAGGGTCTGGGCAAAAGGATAGACCATGGGGGTCTGGGGCTCTGGGGGGGGAGGGATGCGCAGGCGGGGCTCCCCACACAGGAAGGGGCGCCCCAGGAAGCCGCCGTGGTGACCCGTGGCCTTCCTGGGTGGGAGGGGCCGCGCCCGGCCAGGCCCTCAGGGTTGGGAGCAGGGACCGCCTGCTCCAGGCCTCAGGCCTGGGATTATCTCTCATGGGGAAGGAGCGGAGACCTCTCAGGCCCCCCTCTGGGAAGGTTAGAAGGTAGAGGCTGCCCCCTCCTGGCCCAGGGAAGTCGCCTCACAGTGGGAAGGGTTTGGTTCAGTGCCAACTCCCCCAACGCGGATTCTCAGAGGCAAGTGCCCAGGTGAACTCAGGTGGCAGGCAGAGGGCAGGCAGGTTCGGGCGAACAAGCGGAGAGCTGAGTGAACAAACTGTGTGGGAACAAGTGAGTGAGGGTGGAGGGGTAAAGAAACGTGGGCAGGTGGGCCAGTGGGCAGGTGGGCAGGTGGGCAGGTGAGCAGGTGGGAAGGTGGGCAGGTGGGCAGGTGAGCAGGTGGGAAGGTGGGCAGGTGGGCAGGTGGGCAGGTGAGCAGGTGGGAAGGTGAGCAGGTGGGCAGATGGGCAGATGGGCAGGTAAGCAGGTGGGCAGGTGAGCAGGTGGGCAGGTGGGAAGGTGAGCAGGTGGGCAGGTGAGCAGGTGGGCAGGTCACATCGCTGAATGAACAGATGTCTTAGTGGGGGAGCAGTTAATGGAGTCGGAGGACAGGCAAGCTCAGAGCCAAGAGCTCACAACCCGGTGAGTAGACGGTCCGAGCCAGATCCTAAATGCCTGCTCTCCTCTGTGCCCTGAGACTGGGTGGTGGACAATTTTGGGTTTTAAATACAATTTATTTAGGACAGCTTTAGGGTTACGGAAAAGTTCCAAAGATAGTGCAGTGGGCTCACGTGTGCCCCACACCCAGCTCTGCCAGTTCCAACATCCAACGTGGGTGTGGCCATTTGCCACACAAATCAGTATTGATCCGCTCCTGCTAACTGCAGCCAGGTGTTGTTCAGTGCCCTTAGTTTTCCCCTGTCCCGCCTCTGTCCCAGGACCCACCCGGGACCCCGCATCATCACCCTGAGTCACCACGTCTCCTCGGGCTCCGGGGCTGGGACAGTTTCTCAGACTCTCACTGTCTCTTTGACAGTTTTGGGCCAGTGTTTGCAGGATGCATTCTATTGGGGTTGGTGTTTAGGGGAGGACCCAGGGGCGCTCTTCTCCTCTAGTCCTATTGGGGGGCACATTCGCTGTTAGCACGACCTGTCCCTGTGAGGCTGACCTGGACCGCCTGGCTGAGGCGCGCTGGTCAGGTTTCCTCCGTCCATCCCGCGCCCTCCAGAAGGGGGAAGGAAGTCCCTGTGCAGTGGGGCTCCCTCCCTAAGGGGGTGCCACACTCAGCTTGGGGGAGTCCCTGCACTGGCCGTTTGTCCCTCCTTCCCCATTCATGCGTTTTGTCAGTCGTCATACAGGGCGGGCTCATGGGTCTGTGTGAAATACTGTGGGTTACAGTCCACACAACGTTATCGATTTTCTTTCTCAAATTGTTCCAGTTTGGGCCACTGGGAGCTCTTTCAGTTGGCTCATGTGACAAACAGTTTTCAATTTACCAATTAATTATTGGCTGAGGGGGAGAAAGAGGGAGGGCAAGGAGGTCCCTGGGCGGCAAATAACATACACACAGACATGCACACACATGCACACTCACAGGTGCACACACACAAGCACAGACACACTCACATGTAAACACATGCACACACCTACGCGCACACAGACACATACCCACAAGGGCATGTGAGCACGTGTACACCCAGATGCACACACAGGCATGTGCACAAATGCACACACATGAACGTGCACTCAGGCACACATGCACACATATGTACACACATGCACACAAACACATGTACACTGCGATGCACATGCATTAAAGCCCTGCATCTCCATGGAAATGAAGACAGGAGGCAGCCTAGGCCTGTTTGTGGTGGGGCCTGCAGCTGCTGCGTTAGGGTCCCTCCTGGCTCCCACAGGCTGCCCTTGGGAGTGGGTGGCCACCCCAGGTGTCCAGAGGAGAGAGGTGAGTAGCTGAGGGCGAGGCAGGGCCAGCGGCTTCCTTAGATGCCACTTCCTCTTGCAGAGGGAGGGTGTGGCTCAGCCAAGTGGGGGGACTCGCGGTACCTGAAATCTGCCAGGTTCCTCACCCCAGCCAGTGTGCACGGGGAAAGGGAGCTCTGGTCAGAGGCCTGGTCAGTCCCCACACGGCCAGTCCCTGGGGGAGCCTTGCTATCTGCCCACAGAGGGGTTTGGTGCCGCTTTGGGAGGACACTGTGAGGTCATCTTTGCAAAGTACTGGGCACACAGTAGGTGCTCAGCAGGGGCAGGGCAGGATCCCAGGCCTGGCTCTCACTCCAAATGTTATCCAAACTCGGTGCAGAAATGCCCTGGAGCTGGCACCAAGCAGTGTGGCCACGCTGCTTTCCTCTCAGAGTTGGAGACACAGGCCCATGGCTCATCTCCGGGGAGGGGGGGTCAGGCTGCCCAGCCCCTGCAGCCCACGCCCAGACGCACCCCTCAGGCCACACCTGTGCCCCAGACTGGGCCACACCTGGAGCAATGCCTCGGGCCCATGGCCTGGGGGATCCCCTCGTGCCCTCAGGACCACACTCCTGAGACAGGGAGCTCACCCCTACCCGGGCACCTCCCCTACTCACCCACCTTTTCCCAAGGTGCCCTCTGTGGCCACACCAGGAACAAGGCCGTGCCCTTCTGGGATAGGCCTCAGATCTCTGTAAATGTCCTGGTGTCCTGGGCCAGGGCCGGGGCAGCAGGGGGTGGCAGAAGCTGCCTCGCCGCCCCTCCCCTTCCTGCCTGCCCTGCTTCCTGGGCACCAAGCCGCTCAGTTCTCAGGGTGTGTTGACAGACAGATGGGCGGACACAGCCTACCTCCTGGCGGGCAGCTGCAGTCTGAGGCCCCCGCCCAGCTGAGACCACAGGGGGAAGGGAGGGGAGGGGAGGGGAGAGGAGAGGAGACGACACCGCCATGGGCCCTAGGAGCCGAGTCAGGGTGGCCAAATGCCAGATGCTGGTCACCAGCTTCTTTG